GCATCATCCAACTTGCTGTGAAAGACATTATTTCATTCCTTTTCATGTCTAAGTAGTATTCCTTGGTTATTCATACCACATTTTATCTACTCATTGGTCAATGGGCCCTTATGTTGATTCTGTGATCTTTGCAATTGTGAATTGTGCTGCTATAAACATGTGTGTGCATGTGTCTTTTTCGTGACTTCTTTTCCTTTGGATAGATACCCTGAAGTGGGATTGTTGGAGTTAATGGCAGATTCACTTTTAGTTATTTAAGGAATCACCACCCTGTTTTCCATAGAGGTTGTACTAATTTACATTCCCACTGGCAGTGTAAGTTGTGTTTCCTTTTCGCCACATCCACACCAACATCTATTTGTTGTTTTTTGACTTTTTAATTATGGCCATTCTTGCAGGAGTAAGGTGATATCTCATTGTGGTTTTGATTTGCATTTCCCTGATCATTAGTGATGTTGAGCACTTTTTCATGTTAGTCATTTGTGTATCTTCTCTTGAAAAATGTCTATTCATATCCTTCACACAATTTTTGATGAAATTTTTTTTTTCTGGTTGGTTTGAGTTCCTTGTAAATTCTGGACACTAATCCTTTGTCAGATACATACTTTGCAACTGTTTTCTCCCATTCTGTGCGTAGTCTGTTTACTCTGCCAATTATTTCCTTTGCTGTGCAGATGATTTTTAGTTTAATTAGGTCCCATTTATTTTTGTTGCATTTCCTTTTGGGGTCTTGGTCATGAATTCTTTGTATAGGCTAATGTCCAGAATACTTTTTCTAATGTTATTTTCTAGAATTTTTATGGTTTCAGGGCTAAGATTTAAGTCTTTGATCTATCTTGAATTGGTTATTATATATGGTGAGAGATGGCAATCCTGTTTTGTTCTACATGTGGCTTGCCAGTTTTCCCATTTATTGAATAGGGTGTTGTTTTCCCAATTTATATATGTTTTGTTGAAGACCAATTGGCTGTTTAAGTATTTGGCTTTATTTCTGGGTTCTTTCTTCTCTTTCATTGGTCTAAGTGCCTATTTTTATACCAGTACCATGCTGTTTTGTTAACTATAACCTTGTTGTATAATTGGAAGTCCAGTCGTATGATGCCTCCAGATTTGTTCTTTTTGCTTAGAATTACTTTGGCTATTCGGGCTCTCTTTTTGTTCCATATGAATTTTAGGACTGTTTTCTATGTGAAAAATGATGATATTTTGATGAGAATTGCATTGAATCTATAGATTGCTTTGGCAGTATGGTCATTTTTACAATATTGATTCTTCCCATCCATAAGCATAAGATGTGTTTCCATTTGTTTGTGTCATCTATGATTTCTGTCAGCAGTGTTTTGTAGTTTTCCTTATAGAGGTCTTTTACCTCCTTGGTTAAGGTTTTGTTTCTGTTTTGTTTTTCTGCTATTGTAAAGGGAATTGAATTCTTGATTCTCAGCTCAGTTGTTGTTGATATATAGCAGTGTTGATTTGTGTATATTAATTTTGTTACCTGAGAGTTTACTGAATTCATTTATCAAATTTAAGAGTCTTGTGGGTGAGTCTTGAGAGTTTTCTAAGTATAAGATCATATCATTGGTGAACAGCAGTAGTTTGACCTCCTGTTTTCCAATTTGGATGCCCTTTATTTCTTTCTCTTGCCTGATTGCTCTGGCTAGGAATTCCCGTACTACGTTGAATGGAAGTGGTGAAAGTGGGCATTCTTGTCTTGTTCCAGTTCTCAGGGGAAATGTGTTCAACTTGTCACCATTCAGTATGATGTTGGCTGTGGGTTTGTCACATATGGCTTTTATTTTTTTGAGGTAAGTCCCTTCTATGCCTAGCTTATTGAGGGTTTTATCAGTAAGGGATGCTGGATATTATCATAAGTTTTTTCTGCATCCATTGAGATGATCATATTGTTTTTGTTTTTAATTCTGTTTATATGATGTTATCACATTTATTAACTTGTATATGTTAAGCCACTCTTGCATCCCTGGGATAAAACCCACTTGATCAGGATGTATTATCTTTTTGATGTGCCGTTGGATTTGGTTGGCTAGCATTTTGTTGAGGATTTTCATGCCTATGTTCATTAGAGATATTGGTCTGTAGTTTTCTTTTTGTGTTATATCCTTTCCTGGTTTTGGCATTAGGGTGATACTGGCTTCATATAATGATTTAAGGAGGACTCCCTCTTTCTCAATCTTTTGGAACAGTTTCAGTAGGATTGGTACCAATTATTCCTTGAATGTCTGGTAGAATTCAGCTGTGAATCCATCTGGTCCTGGGCTTTTTTTGTTGTTACAAATAAATTTTAAAAAAATTAAATTGCTAAGTTATTTCACTTAGGATAGTCATTTTTTGTAAATTAGTTATTCGGTCTCACTGCTTATTATTGGTCTGTTCAGGGTTTTCTTGTTTTTGTTTTTTGAGATAGGGTCTTGCTTTGTCGCCTAAGCTGGAGTGCAATGGCACAAACTCAGCTCACTGCAACCTCCACATCCCAGGCTCAAATGATCCTCCTGCCTCAGTCTCCCAAGTAGCTGGGACTACAGGCATGTGCCACCATGCCTGGCTAATTTATTTATATATATTTTTTTGTTGTTGTTTTTGTTTTTGTTAAGAGGCGGGGTTTCGCCATGTTACCCAGGCTGGTCTCGAACTCCTAATCTCATGGGATCCACCCACCTCGGCCTCTCAAAGTGCTGTAATTACAGGCATAAGCCACCACATCCAGCCTTCTGTTTCTTCCTGATTTAATCTAAGAGGCTTGTATACTTCCAGGAACTTATCCATTTCCTCTAGGTTTTTTTAGTTTGTGCACATAAAGGCGTTCATAGCAGTCTTGAATAATCTTTTGTACCTCTGTGGTATCAGTTGTAATGCCTCCAGTTTCATTTCTAATTAAGCTTATTTAGATCTCTCTTCTTTTGTTAATCTCGCTAATGATCTATCAATTTTGTTTATCTTTTCAAAGAACCAGCTTTTTGTTTAATTTTTTTATTTCAGTTTCATTTAGTTCTTCTCTGATCTTGGTTATTTCTTTTCTTCTGCTAGGTTTGAATTCAGTTATTCTTGTTTCTCTAATTCCTTGAGGTGTGACATTAGGTTGTCAATTTGTGCTCTTTCAGACTTTTTGAGAGGAGTCTCGCTATGTCACCTAGGCTGGAGTGCAGTGGCGCGATCTTGGCTCACTACAAGCTCCACCTCCCGGGCTCACGCCATTCTCCTGCTTCAGTCTGCCGAGTAGCTGGGACTACAAGTGCCCACCACCATGCCTGGCTAATTTTTTTGTATTTTTAGTAGAGATGGGGTTTCACTGTGTTCACCAGGATGGTCTCCATCTCCTGACCTTGTGTTCCACCTGCCTCAGCCTCCCAAAGTGCTGGGACTACAGGCATGAGCCGCTGCGCCTGGCCGCTCTTTCAGACTTTTTGATGTAGGCATTTAATGCTATGAACTTTCCTCTTAGCACTGCTTTTGCTGTATTCCAGAGGTTTTAATAACTTGTGTCACTATTGTTCATTTCAAAGAATTTTTATTTCCATCTTGATTTCATTAACTTCAAGATCATTCAGGGGCAAATTATTTAATTCCTATGTATTTGTATAGTTTTGAGAGCTCCTTTTGCAATTGATTTCTAGTTTTATTCCACTGTGGTCTGAGAAGATACCTGATATGATTTCGATTTTCTTAAATTTACTGAGATTACAGTGGCTTCTTTTGCACTGCCATTGTGAATTTGCTTCCAATGAATTCTGCACAACATGATGAATAGTCATATACAGGATGTGGAAGACCATCTTGGCCTCTAAACCCCATTATGTGAATACCTATTACTTAAATATTTATTTAACATCACAATGAAAGCATGGACAACAAAAACGTGGCATAACAGACCACCAGCCTAAGACAGGACCATACACTGGATCTGGATAAATAAGCACAGCCAAAACCAACGTCTGTGACCTTACAAGATGAACTGCTGGAGCCTCAATTCTGCTTCCTCCTATCACCTCTTCCCCAGCTATTTTGACTTCCAGCAAAATTCCTGGATGACTCCAGAAGTCTCTCTGCTGTGACCAAAGACCATCTTATATGCCATCTTATCCATCACTGCTGCTGTTTCTCCTTACCCCTGTTAGTTACCCGCTCTGCTCTGCAGTCCTGGTGTCAGTAGAAGCAGAAGGCAGTGAAGCATTTACATCCATCCCAGAAATGGGGTGCATTATCTTTCTCAGAAATTCAGAGATCTCAGAAGCATCCAGATGTAACTACTCATTCATTAACAGCTTTTTCTTATTTCTATTTCCTATAACACAGCAAATCAGAAACATCTAAAGAAAAAGGGTAAATTTTCTGTACTATTTCAAAACTAAGAAATAGCCAATTATGTAATAAGTGAAAAAAATTTGAAGCAGAAATGGAAAAATGATTTGAGTTCATAAAGATAAATCTTGATAATGATTAGTTGACTTGCTAATTCTTCCTGCTCAATGTCACTGGATGAAGAAATGTAACACTGCAAACTTTCAAAGATGAAGTTCAAATGCCTGATAGTTTGAGGTTTTGTTGGGGTTTTTTTTAAACTGTACTTAATTTTAGGAAAAATTCGTCTTTGGCATGCAATGATCTGGGAATAATTTCAGTGAAAAGTAAGGATGCCTTTTATTGGTATTTTGTTTTAAAGATTACAACAAGCTATAATTTACATTATCTCATTTGATTCTCAAAATGACTGTGAAATGGAAAGGAAAGTTATACTATGTTCTCCATTTTACAGGTGAGGAAACTGAGGCTCAAAAATCTGGCCAGGTGTGGTGGCACTCACCTATAATCCCAGCACTTTAGGAGGCCGAGGCATGAAGATTGCTTGAGCCCTGGAGTTCAAGACAGCCTGTGCAATACAGCAAGACTCCATGACTACATTTTTTTTTTAATTAGCCAGGTATGGTGGCACCCTCCTGTGGTCCCAACTACTCACAAGGCTGAGGTGGGAAGATTGCTTGAGCCGAGGAGGTTGAGGCCACTGTAAGCCATGAACATGCCATTGCACTCCAGGCTGGGCGACAGACTGAGAACTTGTCCAAAAATAAAAATTTAAAAAATCATAAGGCTCCTAACCAAGATCTGACAAAAAGTAAGTAATGATATTTGGCCTTGATCTCAGAGCAGTGTATTTTCCATTACACCCTAATGGCTTTTTATACCCCCAGCTTTCTGGAAAAGTTAAGGAGCTCCTATTTTAAACATTGAAAATGAAACTGGCTTTTCCAGATACCTAAAGGTTATTTGTGTGGCAGTTAAGTTTTTTGCTATTCATATAACAATATCTGGCTACACAACTGCAATATAGTTGGTGTGACTTCACCGGCATGTTCACAGAATAGTCCTGCCCTCTTGCACTGTCTGGACACATCTTCCCTATCTTACGATCTCATCGATAATGCCCATCCTTATAAATATAAGCCGGAAACATTCCCCATCTTGTCCGAGTTGATCAGTAGGCAAAGGGCCAACTTGAAGAGGCCATTGCAGAAGTGAAATTTCCATACTATACAGTTGTGAGTTGTTTAAATATTCAGGGGGAAAATGGTCAGGGGTGGGAGCTGGTCAAAGAAGAGAAAGATACACAACTGTGAATAACCGAACAGATCTGCATTCATAAATCCAACTTTGTCAATGGGAAATTATTGAAATGGTCTCATTTTAAGATGGCTGGTCACGTTAGTGTGTTCACAAACTTTTTTCCTTCTAATTAAAATTATATACTTGTGAAAATTTTGGAAAACATAAAAAAATAGCAATCATATTCACAAATTACCAGTTTCATGGTAACTACTTGAGTTTGTGTTCCCTTCAGTATTTTTCTTATGCAACATACTTCTTTTATGTAGTTGACAGTTCTGCAGTGCTTCTTATTGACTGATCCTGGGAAAGTTATTTAACCTCTGAGAACCCAGGAGCATCTGCTTATACATCTAGTGATAATACACACTCATCGGCAGCTTTTTATTATTTCTATTTCCTAGGATATGGCAAATCAGAAATTTCAAAAGACTAAAGGAAAAATTTTCATATTCTTTCAAAATTAAGAAATAATTCACAAATAAAGAAAAAATTGATACAGAAATAAAAAACAAAGCATCACTTTCCTTATCTAAAAATTATGAGAAATAAATAGGATCAACCATATGGGATGGTTGTAAGGATTCATGAGAAAATGCCTATCGATTGCTTAACTCGGGGTCTGGCAAGGTAAGCACTCAAACAGCTATTATTCTACTGTATTATATATATATATATATATGATTTTATACTAATTGGTCAGTTAATAAGTTATTCATTTTATTTTTTGTATCACACTTTATTCAAAAGAGGATTTCAAAGTGAAATGAATGTGGAGCATAAAAAGAATTTTTTTTAATCAGTAAGAAAATTAAGGTGTGGTATGAGAAAACTAGGGTGGGAAAAGAAGATAAACCAAAGTCTGAAAAAAAAATAAGATGACATTAAGAAAAGTCAAGTACACAAAATGTAAGCCATAAAGTACAATTCACATTGATAAGAATGGGCCACAGCTTTGGCTCTAATATGTTTTTCAGCTAATGCAAAGACAATGATATAACTCTAAATGCCTATGAAATGAAAATAAAGCAGTTGCTCAGCAAATCACTCATCCATTCCTGGCAACGGAACCTCAGAGATGTGATTCTTTTTATTAAGACTACGCTGAGATACAGTGACAGTGTATACAATAACTTCAATATAATGAACGATGAGGTTGTAAGAAAGATTTTTTCTCCTATTTAAAACTTCATAATCTTTATTATAGAAAAACAGGAAATAGAATTTAAAAAGAAAAATGTGAGGAAAAAATCTCTAGGTCGTCATTTAGATAGCAATAATATCCAGAGATCACTACTGTTAATAACATGGTGTATTTCCTTCCAAACTATTTTCTATGCGTATTTGCACATGTAAATAATATGTTTATTTACAAATATTGGATCATTTATACAGACAGCTTTGTACATTGCCTTTTGTTCTTAATGTATTCAGAACTTTTTATGTTAATATTTAAATATCTATACCGTGATTTTGATGGCTACATAATATCTCATAATATAGGTATATCTTAATGTATTCAACCAAACTTTTTAAATGTCACATTTAGATTGTTTCCAAATTTCTTCTATTACAAATAAATATTGTGAATATTTCCTTAAGAAATATCAGAAAGCCAGGCATGGTGGCATGCACCTGTAGTCCCAGCCACTGGGCATCCTGAGACAAGAGAATCACTTGAGTCCAGGTGTTCAAGGCCAGCCTGGGCAACAGGCCAACGTAGTGAGAGGAAGGAAGGGATGTGGGGGGAGAGGAGAGGAAGGAAAGGAGGCAGGGAGGCTGATCGAAATTGAAGAACATTCTAGAGAATAACTGCCTTTACTCTCCAAAAAGTCAAGAGTAAAAACATCAGGAAAAAAAATGAAAAATTCCTCCAGATTAAAGAAGACTAAAGAGACTGAATGGTAAATAGTTTCATAAAACATTGGAGTAATTGACAAAATTGGAATATGGACTGTGGAGCAGATTTATGAATGAGTACAATGTTATATTTCTTGCTTTTTTGTTGTTTGGTTGGTTGGTTTTGTTTTTGTTTTGTTTTGTTTTTTAGGCAGTCTCGCTCTGTCACCCAGGCTGGAGTGCAGTGATACAATCTCAGCTCATTGCAACCTCCGCCTCCCAGGTTCAAGTTATTCTCATGCCTTGGCCTCCTGAGTAGCTGGGACTACAGGCACATGCCACCACGCAGGGCTAATTTTGGTATTTTTAGTAGAGACGGGGTTTCACCATATTGGCCAGGCTGCTCTGGCACTCCTGACCTCAAGTGACCTGCCCACCTTGGTCTCCTAAAGTGTTGGGATTACAGCTGTGAGCCACTGCACCTGGCCTATATTTCTTGATTTTTATACTTGTTCTATAAATGAATGTCCTTACTCTTGGGAAATATACACTGAAGTATTTCAAGTTAAAGAAGTACAATATCTGCAACTTACTCTCAAGTGGTTCAAAAAAATTTATGTACACACAAACACACACACCACAGAGAAAATCAGAGAATGATAAAGCAAGTGGGGCAAAATGTAAAATATTGGTTAATCTGATTAAAGAGGGTAAAGGAGTTCTTTGTACTACTCTTGCAACTATTTTTAACTTTAAAATGATATCAAAATTTTAAAAATTTCTCCCAAGCAACCACTAAAGAAAGCTATACAAAGTAGTATAGACAAACAAATCTACTATAAATAAGTTAAGATGGCATTCCAAATTATCTTCAAGTAACCCACAGGAAGGCATAAAAAGAAAGAAGGTAGAAAGAGAGAGAGGGAGGGAAACAGAGGAATGGGAAGTAGAGGAAGCAAACAAACAAAAAACAAAAATACAGACTTAAGCCCTATCAGTAATTACCTTAAATATAAATAATCTAAATATACCAATTAAAAGACCATGATTGGCACATTGGATAAAAAACATGAACCATTAATATGCTGCCTATAAGAAACTCACTTCATATATATCACCATAGGTATGTTGAAAGTTAAAGAATGGTAAAAGTTATATCATGCAAACATTAATCCAAAAGTTACCCCTCCAAAAAGTCAACTGGTGTTTAAAGCAAAAACAACAAAGTACTCTTACAACATTTGCAGAGGTAAAACATATGACAGCAACACCACAAAAGAAGGGAAAAAGTCACTTGTCTGCCGAAGAGCCTCCAGTGGATAAAAGTCAAAGTCCTTAGAAACTCCTTCAAATCCCCATGCAATCTGTCCTTGTTACCACTCTCACCTCCTTCCCAACTATTCTCCCTTTTGTTGACTGTCTGCTCATCACATTAACCTACAGGCTGTTCCTAGAACGTCCTGGAAAAGCTCCCACTAAAGCACCTGAACACAGGTGGCTCTCTGCTCAGAAGGCTCTTACACCCAGAGGACCAAAAGTTAACTCATTCCTTAATGAGCATCATCCCAACAAATCTCTTTACAGCTATAATTTACACTCTCACCCTGCCCCCATTGCCCTACTCAATTGTTTATAGCACCTATCACCTTTTAATATTCTATAACTTCCTTCCTTATTGAGTTTATTACTTATAGCTAGACTATAAATTCCAAGACAGCATGAATTTTCTTTCTTTTCTTCATAAATGTATCCCAAGTCCATAGAATAGCGGCTGGTATACAACAGTTATTTAAATGTTAATTTGTCAAAGCAATGGATGAATATTTGTTAGGAAGAGGAAAAAGAGAAAGATGTTCACGATACAGTAGAAATATTATTCTGAGAACCCAGAGCACCAAAAATGGCCTGACTGCAGTCAGCTGTTCAGACTCATTTTAGCCTTTTCTATAGAGGAATAACCGGATGAAAAGCATACCTTAAGAATCTCAATATAGCAGACATTAAGACATTGAAAGGTGAGAAATCTCAAGGGTTTCTCCACCCCAAAGATAAGTCCAGTTTTCAAACAGGAAACGGAGTAAGGGAAATGGCACAAACAATTCTGTATCAATCACATTCCAACTGTATATCCTATGTTTAGAGTCACCTCGACAGAAGAAGAATATCATGTTTACACAAAGCACTTGGACGTGTGTTTGTCACTTTTATTCCTTTTTTAAAAAAACTCGTTGCACACAAAATTCTAAAGCAAAGGGATTTGCAGACCATCCATTAGAGATAAGAAATACCTAGCTGCTGTTTGTTCCTTTTCAACTAGTAGGCATCTCTAGGCATAGATGTCACCCAGACTAGTAATGTAAATAGGTCATTTAAACAAGGAATTCAAGTAGAAAATGGAAATCATTGAACTACCATTAACGCACCACACAAGTTTCAGTCAGAAACAAAGAGGAAATACACACCTACCATCAAAGCTGATAGTACAGAGCACATTAAGCTAGTATGTCCTTCTTCAAGTCTGCTGGCATCCTATCAAATGAAAATGTGGGCAACCTTTAAGAACTAGCTCACAATGCTACCTACTTCATGAACACAATTCCCACAGATGAATGAAATATTAGCTTCTATAATGCCCTTAGCATTAATATCAAGTTATGGCACTTTTACTTCCCTGGTATCATAGCTACGAGTACTCAACATCGTTGACACCGTGAGGCCAGGAATCCTGTGCTTTTAATCTTTTTTATCTCCTTTGGCAACTCACAAATAGGTCCAACAAATCCTAATTGAATCAAACCAAATGCTTCCAAAATAATCTCTCACTCTAGTAGGCTAGGAAAAATCTTTTTATATAGTATTTGCTGAATTTGTTTGAACGGGATCTCAAGCAGATTCATATTTCTGGAAACTTTTGTTCTATTAGTTCTGAGTTCAGTTGAGCCACTGAGTACGGTCAGCAGCTATTGCTTGTTGCTATTCTTTTATTTAAACTAACCAAACATTCAATCTTTTGCCATCCTGACTTCTGGTATAAAATTGCATATGACCTGAATGATTGCCTGAATCACTGAAATGTTTGGTTCATTTCTTTGACCATGGCTAAAACAGTCCCTAGCACATAGTAGGTGTTTAGTAATAATTGTTGAATGAAATTGTTCAAAGAACCAGGCAAAACCAGCGTTCTGACAACAGACTATGGAAGCTGTATACTTATTATGATTCCAGGGGTAGATCATTTCCAAAGACGACCTCAAACAATTCCTACAATCCCTGCAGGCACACATCTCTGCACATCAAAAAACAGTCTGTTTCCTTTTGCCTTGCATCTGGGCTGGTCTTGTAACTTGCTTTGACCAATGGAATGCACGGAAGTGATATTCTGGGACTTCCACACCCAGATCTTAAAAGACTTGTAGCTTCTGCTTCCCCATTTTTGAGATTCATTGAATGATAAGAAACTATGGGAAAGGAGAAGCCCAGCCGATAGGCGCCAAGCCATCCCAGCTGTTCCAGCAAAGATTGCCAACAGACAAGTAAAACAATCTGAGATGTTCCAACCCCAGCTGAGTTCTTCGCTAAATACAACTATGTAACTGCAGCCAACACATGGAATAAAGTTAGTCATCCCATCAAGTTCTCTCTGCTCAGTGGCAGGATCATGAGTAAATAACTGGTTTTGTTGTTATAAACCACTAAATTTTGGGGTGGTTTGTTATGCATGGTAGATAACTGAGAGAGTCCTAATAGTTTCCATTTTATCCTTCCTGTATATATGTATTAAGAATACTGTGAAATGATTATCACTTAATGTGTGTTTCTGGGTGCTGATATTTTTGATAAGCTTTTTTGGGTTTTGTTTTAGTTTTCTTATTTTAGCTTTTTGCTTAAAAAGTACTTTATGGTGCTTCTTTTCTATAACCTTTTAAGAATATGTTATCAACATAAAAAGAATGCTTATAAAATATGTATAAGGTATAAAGACTAAAGCAAATGCCTATGAAAATAAAATTTTAATGCCTGCATACTCGCCATCCAGTTTGATAGAACATTACATTACATTTGAAGTTATCTGTGTAGTCCTCTCACGACCCAGCACCTTTCCTAAATTTCTGCTTTATCCTTCTCTTTTCTTTGGAAATTTCCCCAAATATTATATAACCAAATATAAAATTACATGGCTTATTATTATGAATAAATGGAAATGTGTTTTCCAGAACCTGATTTATTAAAAATTGTTTGCCTGAATATTCATGTTTTTGTGCAAAGTTAGAGTGCATTCCGTTTTTACTGCTATATTGTATTTCATTTTATTAACATACCACAGTTAACCATGTTACTGTTGAGCACTTCAATTTCTAGATTTTGCTTATTACAAAAACGGCTACTATAAATATTCTTATATATGGCTTCCATTGTTAGAATATCTAGTATATATTCAGAGGTAGATGAATATATTCAACTTGACTGGATAATGCCAAATTGTTTTATAATACTGTGATATAAACTCATGCTACCATCAGTGATATATATAGCACCCATTGTTCTATATCCTCATCAACACTTGATATTGTCAGACATTTAAATTATTTTCACTGTGGAGAATATGAAAGGATATCTCACAGTGTTTTAATTTTTCATTTATCGAATAACTAAAGAAGTTGAGGATCTCATGTGTTTATTGGCTAATTCTCCTCTGTGGAATGCCATTCAAGACTTTTGTTTTTTATTGGGATATTTTTATTATTATTCTGTACTTTTATTCTATATTCTGGTTACAATTATTTTTACTGTTGTATGTGTTGCAAATAACTTCTTCCAGGTTTGTCTTTTCACTTTCTTTACAGCGTCCCTTGGTAAACGTAAGTTCTTAATTGTAGTATAGCTACATTTATCAATAATTTATCTTACAATTGGTGCATGTGTCTCCTTTAAGAAACTTATTCCAATGTCATAAAGATAATTTCCTTTAAAGGTTGTATAGTTCTACCTTTCATATTCAAATTTTTACACATGTGGAATCTGTTGGGAGAAGATATGATAGAAATAGGAATACAATTTGATCTTTTTACAATATGAGTAACCAGTTTTAGTGGCTTGATTTATTGTAGTCTATCTTCAATGCAAACTCTGTTAAAAGTCAAATTTATATATATATCTGGTTCTGGTTTTGAGTTTTCTGTTGTTTCTGTTGTTTCATTTGTCTCTGTGTCTCTGCCTTTGCAGATATCAGACTACTATGGATTTAAAATAATTCTTGCTACCTACTAAAGAAATCTACCTCCCTTGTTCTTCAGGAATGAGTGGGTTATTAATTTTTGCTTTTCCATGTAAATTTTAGGCCCAGATTGGCAAGTTCTGTAAAAATAAACAAAGTTGGTATTTTGACTTCAATCAAATCTACATGTCAATTGATGGAGCATTGCAATTTTTATGAATTTGGAGACTTCTGATCCATGGACATGGTATGTACTTTAATGTTACTTTAATATTATAATTTTGTCCTTAAAAAGTCTCACAAATGTTTGTCACATTTATTCCTAGGTAATTTAGAATTACCTTAACTGTAGGTGGCAAGAATATAGCAATATAATTGTGTATACTGATTTTTGTATCAAGCAAACTTACCAAATTTATTTATTAATCCTAATTTATCTATAAATTTCTTTGAAATTTCAGTGAAGACATTATTAGCTAATAGTAATGGTTTTGTTTATTCTCTTCAAATCTTTATGCCCTTTTTTTTCCTTTTTTCTGCCAAATTGATCCAGCAAGGATTCCTATTTCAATGTTAAGAGAAGACATTCTTGGAATCCACTTACTTGTAAAGGAGATGTTTTCTATGTTTAACCATTAGAGATAATACCTGCCCTATGTTCTTTGAAGTTAACTTCTTTTTAGATTAAGCTAATTTTTGATTAGTTTGCAAATCATGAATGAATGTTCAATTTTATAAAAATGATTTTTATCTACACTACTTTTTCCCTTAATTTGTCAATGTAATTAATTATGGTAAATGAAAGTTCTAATATTAGAATCATTAAAGTAACTTCACACTTCGGGGATGAGTCCAAATTGATCATGATAAGTTAGTTATTTTGTACAGTATTCAGTTTGATTAAAGAATTTTGTTATCAATAATTGTGTGAGATACTCTGTAATTTTTCCTTCTCTTAGTATCCTTGCAAAAGTGCCGGTACTCATATCTACTAGCTTTTTATCCATTACATACTACCAGAAAATGAAATTTAAACAGTGCTTTTAAAACAGATAACACCATCTATATGATTAACTCAAATAAAAGATGTTTAAAACCTATACAGAGAAAATTATACAACTTTTTAAAGAGTCATTAATAAAAATCTCTAAAAAATTGAGAGACATATCATGTTATGAATCTGAAAACTCAAAATTGTAAAGGTATAAATTACCCCAAGTAGATTAGATAGACTCATTGCAATCCCAGTCAAAATCCAGCAGGTTTCCTTTTGTGAGATTTAGTCATTTGAATTTATACAAATGCAGAGACCTAAGAATACCCAAAATATTCTTGAGAGAGTTGGAAGGACTTGCTTCACCAGCTATCAAGACATTATAAACCTATAATAATTCAGATAGTGTGGTATTTGCTCAGGGACAGACAAGTAGACAAAGCAACACAATACAGAAAGCGGGACAGACTTATACATAATAGATACTTAATATATGACAGAATAACACTGTTGATCATAAGGGAAAGGACTGCTCAAAATATGGTGCCGGCCATTTTTCCCATATGAAGAAAAATGAAATTGGTCCTTTCTCTTCTATGTACACAAAAATTAGTTCCATGTAAATTGAAAACCTAAGTAAGAAAGGCAAAACTATAATGTTTTTAAAATACAGGAAAATATCTTTACTAAACTAGGGTAGGTGAAGATCTCAAACATAGAAAAGAATAAACCCTAAAGGAAAAATTCAACTGTATTAAAATTAAGAACTTTTCTCATACTTCAGCAATATTTTCAATAATATTACTGAGCAAGTACTGAATATATAAATAATGCCTACAGTGGCTCATGCCTGTAATCCCAGCACTTGGGGAAGCTGAGGCTAAAGGATTGCTTGAGGCCAGGAGTTTGAGATCAGCCTAGGCAACATGGTGAGATCCTGTCTCTACAAAAAGTAAAAATATTAGCCAGGCATGGTGGCATGTGCCTGTAGTCCCAGTTCCTCAGGAGACAGAGGTGGGAGGAACACTTGAGCCCAGGAGGTCAAGCTGCAGTGAGCCATGATTACACCACTGCATGCCAGCCTGAGCAACAGAGTGAGACCCTGTCTCAAGCCAAAAAAGAACAACTATATATCAACAAGAACAGAAAACCTATAGAAAAATAGTCAAAAGTTTCAAATAGGCACTTCACAAAATATGAAATTCAAATAGACAATAAACATATGAGAAAACTTTATACCTTATAGATAATGAGAAAAATATAAATTAAAAATACCAACAGTTGGCCGGGCGCGGTGGCTCAAGCCTGTAATCCCAGCACTTTGGGAGGCCCAGACGGGCGGATCACGAGGTCAGGAGATCGCGACCATCCTGGCTAACACGGTGAAACTCCATCTCTACTAAAACATACAAAAAACTAGCCGGGTGACGTGGCGGGCGCCTGTAGTCCCAGCTACTCGGGAGGCTGAGGCAGGAGAATGGCGTGAGCCCGGGAGGCGGAGCTTGCAGTGAGCTGAGATCCGGCCACTGCACTGCAGCCTGGGTGGCAGAGCGAGACTCCGTCTCAAAAAAAAAAAAAAAAAAAAAAAAAATAGCAACAGTTATTTCAGAACCACCTCACTGGCAAACATTAAACTCTGACACTAGCACGCATTGTAGAAAATGGAACATTAGGAAATCTCATGCACCACTGTGTAGAAGATAAAGTATTAGGTTGGTGCAAACGTAATCGCAATTGTAATTTGCCATTACTTTAGGGGCAAAAACCGCAATTCTGTTTGCACCAACCTAATAGTATAAGCTACATTGGAAATGTGAATAGCATTACCTATCAATCTGAAAATAGGTATAGCCTGGGTGGGAGAACTGGGGAGATGTTGGTCAAAGGACGCACAATTTCAGTTAGACAGGTGGAATAAGTTCAAGAGCTCTATTGTACATCATTGTGACTACAATTAATAATAATGTTATATATTTGAAAATTGCTAAGGGTAGATTTTAAGTGTTCTCACCACAAAAAAATAAATGTGAGATGATACATATGTTAAATAGGTTGATGTAGCTATTCCACATATATACATATATCAAAACATGTTGTACACCATAAGCATGTACAATTTTTACCTGTCAATTTAAGTAGGCATAACTTACAGCAAGTCGGCTTCTAGAGTCTCATTTACACATACAACAGGAAATATGCTACCATTGCCTCAAATTGGAATCAACTGAAATATGTCATTCATAAAGTAGACAAATTATGCTACATTTTTACAATGGAATATCACATCACAATGAACATGAGCAACAGTAGATACCCACGCCTCACAGGTGACTCACAAGCATAATGTTGGGTGAAAAAAGCCAGACTCAAAATACTACATATGGTATGAATCCTTCCATATAAACTTCAAAAACAGGCAAAACTTAAATTTTTAGAAATACATAAGCGGTAAAGCATAAAGAAAAGCAAAAAGTAATTATCTCAACAGTCAGGACATAAGATTCTTAAAGGGAGAAGATAAAAGTTACACTCATGGAAGGCACCATAGGGAAGTGTTCTATGTTGAAATGTGTGTGGTTTCACTACCACTGTATGTTTACCATTCATAGCTCTATGTATGTTTTATGCACTTTCCTACAGTTATCTAAAACATGAAAATATTAATTTGTTTTTGTTTAAAAGCAATTAAATACTTTGAAAGACAACAAAATAGAGAGGTTAAAATGAGACTCTGAAATCTAACAAACCTGGATTCCAATCGCAAGTCCATTACTCAATCTTGTGACCTTGTGATGCTTAATTGCTCTGTAAGCCAGTGGTTCTAACCTTCGCTGCACTTTGTAATCACCTGAGGAGCTTTAAAAACTACAAAAACTGGCCAGGTGTGGTGGCTTACGTCTGTAATCCCAGCACTATGGGAGGCTGAGGCAGTCGGATCACCTGAGGTCAGGAGTTCAAGACCAGCCTGACCAACATGGAGAAACCCTGTCTGCACTAAAAATACAAAATTAGCCAGGCATGGTGGCACATGCCTGTAATACTAGCTACTCCAGAGGCTGAGGCAGGAGAATGACTTGAACCCGGGAGGCGGAGGTTGCTGTGAGCTGAGATCGCACCATTGCACTCTAACAAGAGTGAAACTCCATCTCAAAAAAAAAAAAAAAAAAAAACTACAAAAACCCAGTGCCACCTCCAGAGGTTCTGATTTAATTGATCCAGGTGAATGATGGCCTGAGCACTGATAATTTTGAAAGCTCCCAGGAGATCCTAATGGGCAGCCATGGCTGTGAACCACTGCTGTAAGCCCCAGTTTCCTCATCTGTAAAACTGCAATGATGATGATGATGATGATACCTTGTTGGAGAGTTGTTATAAGGATGAAAGGTGATAGTGTGTGCTTAGGATAGTGTCTGGTAGTCAATGAAGTTTCACTCTTACCACTCACTTTACAAACAAGTTTTGCAGTTTGATTGCAACTGATATTAAAGAATCCTAAGAAATAGATAGTACTTTTAAGAAATCAGATTTGATGACAACCTGGATGCAAAAGAATAAAAGACAAGAATACTGATTGGTACACTCAGGGAGGAAAACAGAAAAGGAAGCAGACCGGTCTTTTGACTATCAGCTGTCTTAGGAACGTTTCCCATACTGGGCCCCTGGGTCATGGACTGGTATCGGTCCATGGCCTATTAGGAACCAGGCCACACAGCAGGTGGTGAGCTGCAGGCAGGCAAGTAAGCATTACCGCCTGAACTCCACCTTCTGTCAGATCAGGGGCGGCATTAGACTCTCACAGGAGCACAACCCCTATTGTGAACTGTGCGTGCAAGGGGTCTAGGTTGTGCACTCCTTACAAGAATCTGACTAATACCCGATGATCTGAGGTGGAACAGTTTCATCTCTCAACCATCCTCACCGACTCCATCCATGGAAAAATCCTCTTCCATAAAACCAGTCCCTGGGGCCAAAAAGGTTGGGGACTGCTGATCTAGACACAGTCTCTCAGTTATACTCTCTTGTAATTTTCCAAGTTTATATGAGTAATTTAAAAACCAGCAAACGACTTGGCTTTATGTCTTCTGGCCTTATTGTGGGTGGAACCTTGGAAATGCTAGTGCCTTATAGATATAATGTTCTCTTTGTTTAAAGATTTTGTTTCCCAACCAAGGAAATAATTAAGTTTGAATTCTCTCATCCCCCTCTATGATGTTCAGCTGGTTTTTGTTTTAGGCCATGCTAATTTTTGCTGAGACTCCCTGTTGATGTAGTATTTGTTTGTTGTCATGAGCGTGTTACAGGGTGGGTTTGTGATATTCTAAACCAATCAGTAATCATTGCATTAGAAATCTTCCTTTACATAGACAAAATTAAAATTTTGCTTCTTAATCTCATACATCAAAAAATCTTTCTCTAATTCAATTGAGTTGGCCAGCTCCAAGTCCTAAAAAATAGTGCTAAATATCTGGAATTCAGGACTGGGTGCTGTGGATCACACCTGTAATCGCAGCACTTTGGGAGGCTGAGACAGAACTTGAGGCCAGGAGTTGGAGCTGCAGTGAGCTATGATCACACCACTACATTCACACCACTGCTTTGTTGATTAGGTTAATATTCTTCCCTTAAACCATCATTTAGCAAATGAACACTGAAGTAAAATATCCACCAGAGGCAAAACATAAAAATAAAAAATTTTTAAAAAGAAGAGATCCCTTAAACAAGGGAGGAGGTTATGAAGTGATGAGAAAGAGTTGAGGGAATTTGTTGACCGGCCCAGCCCTCAGCTAGATTCAATCCAGTCCACCTGTTAAATGCCAAGAAAAATAAGTGCATTTTGCAGAGGCTGAGATCGCCAGCTCTCTCCTCTGACCTCCCTCCTTTCTGACCCTTTGACCTCCCCTGCAGGAGCCGCTTTGAGCAACTGTGCCCAGCACCTGGGAGGCGAAAGAACCCTGCAGAAGCCAACAAATCAACATTCCACCAGAAATTCTGTGCTGGATAATTCAACCAATTCAGCTGTTATCCTGGCCACACCCTCGGTCTGGGCTTCCATCCAAACCTCATTCTTCTTCACTATTGAAAACCAGAAGCCACAGCCCCCAGCCCTGTCTTCTAGCTCCCCACCCAGGCCCCGCTCTCTCTCTCTCTCTGAGCCTCTCCACTGTGCCTCGTGAAACCCCAGTTCTATAAGGAACAAAATTCCTTTGGTCTACAAATATTTCCTTGAGAATTCCCCCAACATTAATTAAAAAAACTTCTGGCCAGGCGCTGTGGCTCACACCTGTAATCCCAGCGCTTTGGAAGGCCAAGTGGGGAGGATCATTTGAGCCCCAAGAGTTCAAGACCAGCCTGGGCAACATAGTGAGACCTTGTCTCTACAAAAAATACAAAAATCAGCCAAGCATGGTGGTTTATGCCTGTGATCCCAGCTACTTGGAAGGCTAAGCGGGGAGAATCACTTGAGCCTGCAAGGTTAAAAGGCTGCAGTAAGAGGAGATCGCACCACAGCACTTCAGCCTGGGCAACAGAGTGAGACCCCATCAGGGAAACTAGAAATGAACTACTTAGCTTTCTTCCAAAACCTGCAATTCATGAGGAATAATCATCCTCTTAATCAGCAGGGCACCAACATTTGGAGTGAACACGACCTTCTCCCATTTGCCTTCCACATGCCATCTGTTGCCAGACCTTGACAATTCTAACTCTAGGGACTTTGTGTAAGGGAATGGGGCCTAAATGGGCCCATGCTCAATTATTGATCATTCTAAAATTTTTTTGAGTTTGTATTATGAAAAGTTTCAAGCATACATTATATAGAGACTAGTAAGGCAAAAATCCCAAGTACCCACCAGGTCTTCTTAACATTTTACAATACTGTATTTGATTCCATTTCCTTTCAAAATTTTTTTTAAATAAACACAGAATGGTTGAATGACTCTCCCCAGGTCTACATCACATACTCCACACAGTGTCTGAGACAGAACATAAAAAGAATTATTTGCTCAATAGTACTTGGCATAAATGTATGAGCCTCCCTGAGTCCCAATCCCTTCTTTCCCTATGTCCCTTTCATCCTGCCTCCTTTTTGTATTTCTATCTGCATTAGTTGCCTCTCTCAACATTTTTTTCTTTGTACATCTGTGCTTGTCCATCTATTTCCCTTTTATTATCTTTCTCTCCAAAAGATTTCTTCTTTCCTTTAATAATAACTACAGCCATGTGTCGCTTACCCATGAGGCTATGTTCAGAGAAACGTGTTGCTAGGCACTGATGAAAGTTGTGTGGACATCACCAAGTGTACTCACACAAACCTAGATGGCATAGCCCACTACACGTCTGGGATATATGGTAGAGTCTTTTGCTCCTAGGTTACAAACCTGTACAGCATGTTACTGTAATGAACACTGTAGGCAGTTGTAACACAATGGTATTTGTGCATCTAAACATCTGCAAATGTAGAAGAAATACAACAAAAAATAGATAGTATAAATGATTTAAAATGGTACGTCTAGGGTACTTACCATGAATAAAGCTCGCAGGACTGGAAGTTGCTCCGGGTGAGCCAGTGAGTGAATGTGAGGGCTGAGGACATTACTGCACACTGCTGTAGACTTTACGAACACTGTACCCTTAGGCTATATTAATTGTTTTCTTCAATAATAAATTTTAGCTTACTGTAACATTTTTAACTTTCAGCTTAATATTTTTCAATTCTTGTAACAACACAGCTTAAAACACATTGTACAGTTGTACAAAAATATTTCTTTATTCTATAAGCTTTTTTCTATTTTTAACTTTTTTTTAAACTTTTAAAACTTTTTTCATAACTACCAAGACACAAATACAAACATTAGCCTAGGCATACATGTTAAGATGGCTACAATGTCACTAGGCAATAGGGATTTTCAGGTCTGTTATAATCTTATGGGACCACCATAGTATACACGGTCCATCATTAACCACAACATCATGCAGCACATGACTGCATTTCATAAGCACCTACTATGTGCCAGATGCTGTTCTAGACCCTTAAGAAACAGACCTGTCAACCTTTTTCTCTACGTAGCTTTCTCTTTGCTGATACATCCTGTTTTCTGACCATCTTTCAATCTGGATTTCTTCCCCCTTTTTCCTTTATCATCTCCACCCCTTCCCACACTTCCCTTGTCTAAACTGACTATAAAAGAAAATAGAAGCATCATTTTATGTATAATTGTGCTTTTGCATGAGAATGAGTTCTCCATAGCTTAACTTTTAGAAGCGAGTTAAGAAATAATTTCCTATTGGGTAATATTCAGATTTTTAACAGCAGCTCTCAAGTCTGAAAAGCAGCTTTTATTTCTCACCAGGTACCCTGGATCCTGAGCATACCTGAATTGTCTCCATCTTACAAATTTACTTCCAGGCTTTTTCTTAACGCTGTTTCTTGTTAGATGGATGTTCTCAAACTGGATGTGTCAAGATTCTTCAGAGACTTGGCTGCCTCTGTCCCCACTTTGTCACTCGTGTCACCAGCATTTAACAAATGCCTAGTGCACAGAAAGTGCTCAAGAAATGTTTATTGTATTTTTTTAAAACATAATTAAAACTCAGTTACTCATTACTTGGTGCACCACGTTTTCTGTTAGGTGATAGACCACCACAGAAACGAATTCAACTCAAATTGACAGGCCAAAATGGAAAAAGAGGAGGTAAAAACAATAGACAAGAAGAATCCACAACAATTGTCACCCTGAGAAGGAATGAGAAACTCTGAGATCCTTCCTTCTTAGGGGGTTAAAGAACTGTCAGAGCTGGGGTAGAAGCGACTGCAAATAGTTGGCCTCCTTATTAATCCTTCAGGGGAAGAAAACTTATTCTAAGTACAAGGACTAACAGCTGCAGTTCTACCAGCACATTCCACAGAAGTTACAAGGAAACTGATGAGAATTCAAATACTCTGTGATAACAGTGGGACGAAGCTGCCAAAGAAAAACACTAGAAAAAAAGATTTGCAGACTTTTCTCGCTTAGAAAAGCGAAGAATTAAACCACCTGTATCTGGAAGACCCCAGTGAACCAGGGGTTAAAGAAGATGGTATTAAATGCCCATGTGAAGGTTTACACAAAGGGGCATAGCAGTAGTATTAAATAACAAGGAAGTTAAAAATAATCATAGCTAACAACAATGTACTGTGTTTTTCAAAACAGCTAGATGAGAGGATTTGAGACGTTCCCAACATATAGAAATGATAAATCAAGTGATGGATACTCTGAATATCGTGACTTAATCATTACTCGTTCTACACACTTAATGAACTACCATCTGTATGCCATAAATATGTACAAATGTTGTGTATCAAATAATAATAATTTCCTCTCTCTAGACCCCTCCCAGGTCCAAACTGGTTTACATTTGAGCGAGCTAATTTATCCACACCAAGAGATAAAGTCCTTGATGTTCAACTCCCTTAGGAATTTAGTAATTAAGCTCATTTAGAAGATAAGTACTAGGTGTTTGAGAAGAAAGGCATTCCTGGCAAAGCAAGGTTGTAGACTCCTGGAGCAGGTGAATCTTCATGAGGCCCAAATAGACCACATTCTTAGAAGACGACCATATTTTTGCAACACCTGCCTGCAATGAACTCACCTTGGGTGCTTGTTAAAAATTCAGATTTCAGAATTCAGAAATTTAGATTTCTGGAACCCAACTATTTTCTTTTAACTGAAGGTTTACATACAAAGGAATAGCTCGTGTTAAATAACTAGGAATTTTTTTAAAAAACAAACAAAACAAAACAACCTCCTGTTTAGGCATTATCCAAATCCAAACTGATTTGCAACTTTTATGAGATCTAAGGTAAGGGTTCCTGGGGGTCAAATGCATTTCAGCAAATCTTCCTGATGAAGCAGAGTCTTAGAGGTCCAGAGACCACACTGCATGTATCCGCCATAAACCTCTCGTGGAGCCAAAACTACCTGTTCCGAGGTCTCCTGTTCTGGGAACATCCTCCCTTGACCACAGGCCTGAGGAACTGCGGGACGGAAACTCCTCCTGTATGCTTCACAGAGTCTTTTTCTTTGCTCTTGCATAGACCTGAACACTGGACTTTATACTCCTAACAGCTGCTGACATTTATCACATTATCCTATTTAGTTGTCTCTTTCAGCAGATTTATGTACTTTTTTTTTTTTAATTTATTTATTATTATTATACTTTAAGTTGTAGGGTACATGTGCATAACGTGAAGGTTTGTTACATATGTATACTTGTGCCATGTTGGTGCGCTGCACCCATCAACTCGTCATTTACATCAGGTATAACTCCCAGTGCAATCCCTCCCCCCTCCCCCCTCCCCATGATAGGCCCCGGTGTGTGATGTTCCCCTTCCCGAGTCCAAGTGATCTCATTGTTCAATTCCCACCTATGAGTGAGAACATGCGGTGTTTGGTTTTCTGTTCTTGTGATAGTTTGCTAAGAATGATGGTTTCCAGCTGCATCCATGTCCCTACAAAGGACACAAACTCATCCTTTTTTATGGCTGCATAGTATTCCATGGTGTATATGTGCCACATTTTCTTAATACAATCTGTCACTGATGGACATTTGGGTTGATTCCAAGTCTTTGCTATTGTGAATAGTGCTGCAATAAACATACGTGTGCATGTGTCTTTATAGCAGCATAATTTATAATCCTTTGGGTATATACCCAGTAATGAGATGGCTGGGTCATATGGTACATCTAGTTCTAGATCCTTGATGAATCGCCATACTGTTTTCCATAATGGTTGAACTAGTTTACAATCCCACCAACAGTGTAAAAGTGTTCCTATTTCTCCACATCCTCTCCAGCACCTGTTGTTTCCTGACTTTTTAATTATCGCCATTCTAACTGGTGTGAGATGGTGTCTCATTGTGGTTTTGATTTGCATTTCTCTGATGGCCAGTGATGATGAGCATTTTTTCATGTGTCTGTTGGCTGTATGAATGTCTTCTTTTGAGAAATGTCTGAATCAATATCATGAAAATGGCCAAACTGCCCAAGGTAATTTATAGATTCAATGCCATCCCCATCAAGCTACCAATGAGCTTCTTCACAGAATTGGAAAAAACTGCTTTAAAGTTCATATGGAACCAAAAAAGAGCCCGCATCTCCAAGACAATCCTAAGTCAAAAGAACAAAGCTGGAGGTATCACGCTACCTGACTTCAAACTATACTACAAGGCTACAGTAACCAAAACAGCATGGTACTGGTACCAAAACAGAGATATAGACCAATGGAACAGAACAGAGTCCTCAGAAATAATACCACACATCTACAGCCATCTGATCTTTGACAAACCTGAGAGAAACAAGAAATGGGGAAAGGATTCCCTATTTAATAAATGGTGCTGGGAAAATTGGCTAGCCATAAGTAGAAAGCTGAAACTGGATCCTTTCCTTACTCCTTATACGAAAATTAATTCAAGATGGATTAGAGACTTAAATGTTAGACCTAATACCATAAAAATCCTAGAGGAAAACCTAGGTAGTACCATTCAGGACATAGGCATGGGCAAAGACTTCACGTCTAAAACACCAAAAGCAACAGCAGCAAAAGCCAAAATTGACAAATGGGATCTCATTAAACTAAAGAGCTTCTGCACAGCAAAAGAAACTACCATCAGAGTGAACAGGCAACGTACTTTTTTATTTTATTGTTTCATTATTCTATGCTCTTCTGGCTAAAGCTTTCATTTCTTGCTAAGTGTGTGTGTGTGTGTGTGTGTAGTTGTTGTTGTTGTTGAGACAGAGTTTCGCTCTTGTTGCCCAGGCCTGAGTGCAATGGTGTGATCTCGGCTCACTGCAACCTCTGCCTCCTGGGTTCAAGCGATTCTCCTGCCTCAGCCTCCCGAGTAGCTGTTACAGGCACCTGCCACCTCGCCCAGCTAATTTTTTGTATTTTTAGTAGAGACGGGGGTTTCACTATGTTGGCCAGGCTGGTCTCGAACCCCTGACCTCAGGTGATCCACCTGCCTCGGCCTCCCAAAGTGCTGGGATTACAGGCATGAGCCACCTTGCCTGGCCGCTAGGTATATTTTTAAAATAATTCATCATCCTTCCTTTTTGAAATTTAGTGATAAAGCAAGGATAGCAAAATGTTAATTGTAACATCTAGGTGGTTTGTTGGTTTGTTTGTTTGTTTGTTGGGAGAGACAAGGTCTCACTATATTGCCCAGGCTGGTCTCCAGCTCCTGGACTCAAGCAGTCCTCCCATCTCTATCTCCCAAAGTGCTGAGATAACAGGCATTAGCCACCACACCAGGTCTGGCAAATTTATTTTTGATTCCTGTGTTCACCATACAGTTGTTAAACTTTCTGTATGTTTGAAGCTTCTTATAATAAAATATTGGGAGTAGGGAATTCCAAAAGTATGAGAAAGGATAGCATGAAAAGTAAACTCCACTCACTTACTTAAGTCTGGTTCTCAGAAGATATTCACTATTAACAGTTTCTTATATATCCTCCCAGAAGTTGTCGGTACATATATGAGCACATATTATTTTGTACCTGATGGCATGCATCATATAACATTAAGTGCATAAGAGCAAACCTGAAACTTGCTTTCAGTTATGAACACATCACGAAAATCTTTTCAAATCAGTATGTAGTATACAGAAATCAGTCTCATTTTTTAGTTATATGAAATTTCATTTTATGAATATACAATTGGCTCTCTGTTTCCTTGTGTTCTGCACCCAT